CAATTGTCACATAATAGACGACTCGCGATGTGTTCAACACTTCAGTCGAGATATTCATTACAATCGATGTCTTGAAAGTAGTATTGAATTGAATGTAAGTATCGATCCATTGATTGATTGATAGCTAAGAAAGTGAACGAAAGGATTGAGTGAACAGTGAATGCATTGAATGCCTATCTCTTCATCTATGCCTACCTTTCAGTGGTTTTAGACCACAGATGACTGAATCTTCACACTTGTGTCACACCGGATGTCGTAATGGGTTTGTTCATTGTGGTCAATGCATGCCAACTGTGAAGTGCAGTGAGAGTATCAAGCACAACTTCACTACCCATATATTTATCAATTAGAAATTCTAATGCGAGTACTGTTTAGGTAATTATTAAACTTGCAGACTATCTTGCTCATTTATTGTCACCACTTATGGTTTAATGGGTTTGACCAGCAAAACAGCACTAACACTATGATAATTAGCAAGGACAACTCAGCTATGTTAGTTAAATAGTGGTTAGGAATAGTCTAGTGCTATACATATAGGGCTCAATAAACTGATTCACAATTCCTCACACATATGGTTAGGTTAGGCCACAAGAATTCATATAAGTCACTGATTCACGAGTAACCCTGTTCATAGTGTTCAAATTAAATTCATGTTTTATGAATTACTGACCCTGTACATTCACTTTAGAAGGTGTGATAAATGCTGCATTGTGTTAGGATACTAGAATTGAACTTAACTGATCTTTGTAATTATTGATTGATTAATAAAGTGTCATTTATTGAGATATAATTTTATATCTATAGAAATATATTTATAACTTAGTGTCTGAAGACCAGACAAGTGATACATAAATGGCAGACAATGTGTTGATTGGGATCATTGAAAGCGAACTACAAATTGAAGACCAAATGAGTGATAGTTCTTCGTATCGGACCAACAAAATAGGTATTTATGACAATCAATGAAAACCATTGATATCTAAAGACTTTAGACTAAAGTTGTATCAATCAATAGGCGGTTATCCAGTGTTGAGCTGTGAAAGCAATAGTGGAACCATTGGTCACTTCAATTCATTGGTCTGTGATTTGTGTTCAAAGACATTGACTTTTGTATCGCAGATCTATTGCCCCATCGATGACACACTCACCGATCGTGTCATCTATTTGTTTGTCTGTATTAATACTGATTGCAGTCATAATAAATGGTTTGCAT